CTACAATGGCACCCTCGCAAATTCCTCTTTGTATGGCTGCAAACGCCTCAGCAAGACCTGTCAGTGCAGATGAGCAAGCAGTGCGGATAGTCAGGCTATACAATGTCAGCCGCTCAGTACTTGCAAAATCGGAACGGTGGGGCAAACCTTGGTCCAGTTAATCCGAACTCATAAGAGATACGGTTCGCAAGCATCCAATCTTGGTAACCGTCAATCTTATTCGCACCGTGCCAGAGTGGGTCTCGGTTCATCATCTCTCCCCAGTCCTCGCACATGTTTCCGAAGTAACAACCAATCTTTTTACCCTAGAGTTGATGTTAGCAGGAGTGAATATATTTCTAGGAAGAATTCGAAAACACTTACTCTAAAGTTGGCTTCTCCAGCGTCCTCGAGTGCCTCCATAACCACTTCCAATAGGTGTCGTTGCTGAGGGTCGGAAAACTCGACATCAGAACGGCTCATGGAAAATCGGCTTGTATCCATGGCACCGAGCTTGACATCTTCGTCAAGGAAGTATCCATATTCGGTCGCTACAGTCGTAGGCCGCTTTGTGGTTTCGTGGTAGGCTGACACGTTGTAACGTGACATTGGAACTCGGACCCTGCCGTCCCCTTTGTTGACGAGGAACTCCCAGAACTCCTGAGGGGTGTGATTTCCTCCAGGGAGTCGGAGACCCATACCGCAGATCGCGATGGGGATGGTCTTCTTGTCGGCATCATCCACGTGCAAGCCATTGGTGCCGTTGGCATACGACCCACCATTGATACCATTCTCGTGCGAACCACCATTGACATAGCCGTTGGTACCGTTAGTACCGTTAGCATGAGCATTAGTACCATTAGTACCATTAGCGTGGCCATTGGTGTGAGAGACACCGTTGCCATTGGTGACGTTCGTTCCGTTTGTGATCGACATTTTTGCTGCTGGATAAAGATTCTTGTCGGAAAGTTGTCACGAGATTCCCTGCGGGTGACTTCTGGGGAGAGATTGTTTGCTGAAGAAGCGTGGTGATGATCGCGAGTTGCCTTGCTTCCACTTTGAGGGACATTGCATTCTAATTATCCTCCTACAACTCTTCAACATCTTCGGGCTATGAAGCCATGAAAGCAACATCGGTTATCGGAGTGAAGGCCAACGGAACTGAGCAGGCAGCATCCATTCTCCCCGGTTGCTGGATCTCGGATTCTAGGCCTCATAGGAGAGCCTGTCGGCCTTGGTAGCAAACATCATTGGCACTCCGAATCACGCTTCAGGCACCACAATCGGTGCGTACGCAGCCGGGCTTGTAGTCGACCCTGGAAGAAACGTCAGGAGTTGCACCCCGAAGAGGCTCATTTCCTGCCACCCCCGGTCGAACGGAACGAGCTGCAACATGCGCTTGGCTGACGGTGGTAGGGATTGAGGCTGAGCACAAACCCACTCCGATGCATCACGCCAAGATCCCGTATGTCACGTGACTGGCTTGGCTCATGTGAAGAATATCCGCTACTCTAGAAAGTTCTTACTTTCAAAAAATAAGCCTTTTCCTGCGTTAACCTCCTACCAGGATATCGGAGTTTCCGTTGCAGTCAGATATGGCGCTCAGATGAGATTCTGCTGATTTCTACGTGATGTGACACAAAACGTGTTCATGTGTCGCAAGGCCGACACTTTACTGAGATTTTGCGGCTCTCGGACACGGTAGAAGATTTCGGCATCCAGCATGTTTCGAACTCATTTGGTGCCCGAGAGGGATCGACCCGGATCCAGGGTCTCAGGCACACTTTTCGCGTACGCCATGGGCCGCGAGGTCTATAGGAACTTTCCGTGAATTTTGCGCAGCAAGGCCGTGAAACGGACGGAGACATCTCTTTCCTTAAACAGCAAATACTTTTCAATTAATCTGGACACACAGCAATATATAAACATGAATGTACATCCACAATAACACTCAATGATCACCACACAGAATCCTGCCACTCTTTGCGAAGAACTTGGCTACTTCCACATCAAGGATATCATTCACCAGATCCTTCTTCAACTTCGACAGCTCACTAATCTACTCCCTCGCCACCATGGTAGCCAAGACCGCTGAGGGCACGAAAGATCTCGGGGCCCAATGGAGAGAAGAATGGGCTGCTGCGCAGAAAGTCAAGGCACCGAGCATGAAAAACAGCTCGGTGTTCTACCGTAACATCGAGGAGGAGCTTGACATCAACCGGAAGCAGGGTCTATCGTTCCCAATACATCTCCCTAGTCACACCGTTGATTTCTCCACTTGCGATGTGCTCGGGATGAACCACACTGGCGCACTGAGGGAAGAATTCCTCAAGGAACTTGACGCCAACCCCAACTTCTACATGGGTGCAGGTGGTTCGCGACTGTTGGACGGAACTACGACGTACCAAGATAACTTCGAGAAGGAGTTGGCAGAGCTCATGGGTGTTGAGTCGGCGCTGGTAGTTCACTCTGGATACACCGCCAACCAGGCTATCTTCTCGACTGTCCCGAGATCTGGCGACGTGATTGTCTACGACGAGTTGATGCACGCTACGGCTCTTTCCGGTATGAAAATCGCTTTGGCATTGGACCAAAGGCCCTTCCGCCACAATGACGTGGACCACTTTATCGAAGTCATGGAGGGCGTCAAAGAATCAAACCCTCTGGTCAAATCTGGCAAGCGTTGTGTCATTGTCGGTGTCGAGAGCTACTACAGTATGGATGGTGATATCTGCCCCCTGAAGGAGCTCATCGAAGCCGCCAAGGATATTTTCCCTCATGGAAACGCCCAATTCATTGTAGACGAGGCCCACAGTTTCGGTGTTTGCGGCCCTGAAGGAACTGGCTTTGTTCGAGAACAAGGTCTCACCGATGAAGTTGCCGTCACCATGGTCACGTTCACCAAAGCCCTGGGCGGATGTGGCGGTAAGTATACTCAAGATCCCAACTCAGTGAGTGATACTAACATCTCTCCAAGCGGCTATCCTGTCCAACAATACGATTCGCTCGCTCCTCACCACTCAGGCTAAGATGTTCATTTGCTCCGTTGCACCTCCGTTCACTCTAGTAGCGTCATGCCGTGCCGGAATTCGACTCATGCGATCCCAGAAGTTCCAAGAGGTAAAGTGCACACCGCAATCATCGTCTCATACTTTTTCGACTAACTTCCTTCAGGCTCGCGAGTATCTTCACGATCTCACTGTATTCTACTTGGACACACTGACCTCGCACCCCATTTACAAGAAGGCCAAGAAGAAGGGTATGGTTGACATGCCAGTTCATGAGGATGGTCTCTGGCATGAAGTACCAATCACCCACATCGTGCCTCTCTGGGTTCGTCGTCCCAAGGCTGCGCTTTACCTTGCCTTCCACCTCACCAGAGACGGATTCAACGGGTGCAACATTATGTTCCCCATTGTTCCCAAGGGCGAGGACCGAGTGCGCTTGTTCCTTCACGCACACAACACCAAGGACGAAGTAAAGGCGTTGATCGATTCTATCACCACCTGGATCCAGGAAATGATGGACATCGAAGCCAGTGGCGATAAGAACAAGCTCCCGAGCGCAGCACGTCTTGCATTTGATCTCCTCGAAAAGGACAAGGAGGCTACCGAAAACGACAAGGAAGCTGCTGAAACCAACAAGAAGGCTATCGAAAACGACACCAATGGTGCTCCTGAGAGCATGAAGCCGATGAGCAAGGATAACAGTGGTACGAAGAACCTTATGAACGGTATCAGTTCCTTCAAGAACAGTCAGTTGGTTAATGGGTTGAAATTCGGAGAGCTACCTACGCGCATGTTTTAGAATGGGTGTTTTTGTTAGATAGTCTAGATCTAGCTTACTGCAGTTTTGATATTTAACAATTTGACTTTCTTCTCCAACTATTTCGTATGCACTTCTGATTCCATCTCTGTGACTTCTTGCTTGATGGGATCAACTTGAACATACTAAGACATTCGACTTCCTGCATGAGATATTTCGTAGAGCATGAGGTTTAATACATGAATGAATTTCTTCACGGAAGGTTTGCTCAAGCCAGCATTCTGGGGCTGTCAAATCCTGTCTAGATCGACCTATGCGTAATGATACTTTCAGATTTCCAATCCAGACAAAGTAGTGCAAATGGGCGAATCCTCTTCGAATCTCGTTCCTTTCTCTGATCAAAGATAAAATGCACTGAGAACACTTCACATCTCTAAATAGGGAAAGCTTGTCCTCCGCTTGTTATTCTCGCCCTCCCTTACGTTTATTCCATTCTGATGCCGACTGGCCTTTGTTTGATTTCATCTCGCATAACTATTGCAATTTTAAGGAAACTCTCTATCTCCACCTTACTTCAGATAGCGAAAGCAAGACCTGATAAGGATCCATCCCAACATATGCTCATCATCGCTTGACGTATTATGGCTTTAGAAGTAAGAGGGGAAATGGTATATAGACACGGAAATACTGTTCTAAGACTATACTTAAGCGGCGACCGAAACTACAAGCGCGGAACATGTGACCACCAAAGGCTCACAAAGTCTTCCGTTATTTTCATCACAGCTCTAATGTCAGCTTCAAGCGGGGCGATCCACAGATTCTCGGAACGGACATTTCTGACCTATAAACGCAATGTGAGACTACCATTGCGGACATATCAAAGCCAAAATATGAAAGGCAAAATATTAAAAGCATATTTGATATCGCTTGGAGTCAACCCATTTGTCGAAGATAACGTAGAGATGCGATAAATTTATGAAAAAATCTATATAGTCATATGTATGAAAGTATGCTGTTCCCATCACTTGAAGAAGTCTCCACCTGGGTGGCGGGAGCTTCAAGGTTCGTCGTACCAGCGCAACAGTACACAGCTTGGATCCCCCATATATTCTAACTCATCAATCTTACCATCTACTTTGCGATAGCAATGCCGTCCAATCCCATGAAACTCCCTCTCTTCCACACACTGACTCTTGTCTGGGCCACAAAAGAGAGCATTTTCCATCTTACCAACACGTCTCATGGAAACATCTTTCTTACTTCTTAGGAGTCCACTTCTCTCCATCGATCCATCGATCCAAGACCAGCCCAGCACTACCAGGGTTACGATAACCAGCCTCAACCTGCTTCTCGTAACTGATCTGACGAAGTCTCTCAGTTTCTCTAGGAGTCATTCGCAAATACAACTCCACGCCAATCATGTGAAGAAACAGGCAAATCCACAGCTAAATCACAACCCGTCAGTCTTCTGATAGTCATCTCACACATCGCAAATATCCAGGATCAAACTTACCATCGTACTAAACGGCAACACAGCACTCGCACCAACCTGCTCCAAATGATTCGGATCCTCCCTTGCCGCAACCGCAACCATCTTCCAGCGATTCAGCGATCCATCCGGCAAAATACAGTCTGGATACGTATCCTTGGGGAACTCCATTCCCAAGTTCATATAGAGAAAGTTAATCTCATCGCACATCCAGACAGACCAGTAATTCCCAATCTTCGTAATGATATCCTTCGCCGCAAAATTGATGACACGCGCCGTAATCGTAACAGCCATGTAAAACATCGTCCGCAACATCCACGCGCGATGCTGCTCAATCTGCTTCCGACGGATATTCCACCAACCCATGAAAATTCCAATGGTGGTGAGAATCCCCATGAGTGTCTCCACCGCATGGCTGTTAATCCTATTTCCGCCCTGCTTGTGCCGGATAACGACGAACGCAGCAGCGTTGCTGATCAAGCACAGCAGCAAGACGACGTACCCATTGAGGCGGTGGAACAAGATCCATTTGTGGCGGATGATGGGGGTGAATTGGAAGGTCATGAGGATGCCGGCGGGGAGGATGGCGGCAAGGTGGATGAGCATGCCGTAGCGGTAGGAGCCGCTGCGGAAGTAGTACCAGTAGCCGGGGACAAGGGCGAAGTTGCGCTTGAAGTAGCCGTCGTAGTCGAGGTCGCCCAGGCGCGAGAGGGAGAAGCCGAGCATACCGCCTGCGAAGATTACCCCTAGATGACATTGTTGGTTTTTGTCGTCTAGACTCGAGGGTGAGGTTCAGAAGGTGAAACTTACATAGTGGGAAGTTGTATCCTTTGCTGAATCCGAAGAAGCGATATACCTTTCGATATGCAACCAGATATTTGTTGGTAGGTTCTTTGTTCTCGGATGCGGAGCTGGTCTCGCTGGGGTTCTGGGTGTCTTCTTCTTTGGTCATGGCGACGGGATGGGGGAGTGAAGGGGCTCGAGGGTGGTGTACAAAACTTGGTATTGGCAATGAAACAAACAGGTGTTCGAGTGTAGGACTCTGTTACGTTCAAAGTGAAACAAAATATTTTAAGCATCGCCCGAGCTCATATACAACGACCACATGGCCATAGCACGAGAAACTTTCCGCTCCAGTACCCATAGCCACCGTGAACCGTGTCTGCGTGACACTGCAGCCGCCGATTTCCGACGCTCAGTTAGTAATGTTCAAAGTGTCAGTCCACCGGAGACTTGGGGGTCATTCGAGCCAAGGTTTTGGTCGTGCGGAGATGGAAGCTTGAGCAGTCGGAGATGGTGGTGGCAGCAATGGGAGGCCATGGTCCACGGGATCCGACTGCTCTGCCCGAATACCTCCGCCCCGATATGGGTGCGTGCATTAATGTATTTGAAACTTAAAACTTTCTAGAGTCAGGCAGTTGCATATTTCGCATGTCGTCGTGCTCCGATCGCTGCTGCATTGCCCGCTGCCGCTCTGTATGCATCCCAAGAAATGCCAAGACCCCGATGGTGGTCGGTGTAACATGGGACCAAGCTTTTCTATTGGGATATATTCACCAAGTTCGTGGTCCTCCACTGTCTTGGTTTTATATTAGCAATCCATGAAGACTATCGGTGCCGCTGAGATTTATTGTTGGGAAGAGTGCAGAATATAAGGCTGCCGTTGAGCGGCCATTACTTTTCGCCCCTGAACCGTTCAACGAAAATACTGTGTGAGGATTACATACTTCGTGTTGTATGCAAGTCAAAAGCATGGGATTTATCCTTAGCTATAGACGTCTTGGATAGCATACCTCATTTGGACGTCGAAGGCATTAAATATTTAAGTTTTAACATCCTGTAGAATGGATAGAAGGCCTTACATGAGACACTTGGCGAGAAGGCCCATTTGTATTATCATTTTATGTCGGTATATTTCCTGGATTTTATTTTTCCTTGTACTGAGTTGTATTATCTAGAGTGATGTAGACAAACTAGGTAGGTTTAGGATATGCAGCAGTCAAACAGGAGAATTCTATGGAAGCATCCTTAACACTAGACTTCTATAAACCCTACCTCGGCAACAGGAGATTGATATTAAAGTTCTTCATTAACAAAGATAGTAAACAACTATCTCGGCGTTTTACGGTCAATGCGCATCGAATCAAAAGTGCTGAATTTGCATTGTTTTAGTTAATATTAGCACCCGGTAGAGTTCGTCACATGTGACATCGATACGCGTTGGATTAGATAGTGTCTAGTTTGGATCTGAACCATCTCCATTTGTTTACATACTCCTAACTATGTTTTCTCTCTCATGTCCCTAATGTACCGTATGCCGTAAGTGGCAATTATTATCGAATCGAAATGCTGTGAAAACGCCATACAAAACGCTGTGCTGACTCGTGAAAAACACCAAGCGATCGTTACAGTAAGGAGAAGGAAATTCAAACTATGACTGTCCACTCACCAACCTCCTCGAATCCATTTCCATATGAACCCAGCCATCAAAACCTAATTGCGAATGCATCATTTTAAGTTGTCTCAGGCCATGGCTGCGACTTGGCCACCGCCCACTTTGCGGAACTAAAGATGTGTCAGCAATTTGTGGTCTATTCAATATGAATGAAGTGTACTTACACCAAGGAATGGTGAGAGAAGAGCGGTGAGACCACTGGCAATAATGGTCATGATGTAAACGTTGCTCATGACGTCGGTAATGACGTTCGCAAGTCGGAATTGCACATCTGGGGAGAAGCTCTTCCACTCTGCGCTGCTCGAGCCGGCAAGAATGACACGCGGGTTACCAGTAAAGTCGGATGGCAGGTACGGAACGATGGCCTCGCGGCCCACATTCTGGAATACGTTGCCGCAGAGAGCGGGGAAGAGAGTAATTCCAATACACTGCATGAGGCTGATGACACCAATGGCGTTGAAAACTTCCTTGGGCTCGACAACGTCTGAGATACAACCAAAGGCGGCGATCAAGTAGCAACCTCCGCCAATACCCAGCACAACGCTGTATCCGTAGATTGCTGAGACGCTTGTGCCAACTTCGACCGTGTACATGAGTGCACCTCCAATAACGGCTAGAAGCGAGCCGACAAGGAACCAAGGCATGTAGTAACCCCATTTCGACATGAAGAAACCGTTCATAATGGCCGTGAAGGAGACCATGAAGACGAAAGGAAGGAGTTTGACAGCAGCGTTCACGGGAGACTCGCCTTTGGCAAACTGGAAAAAGAGCGGGATGTAGTAGATGGGGATGTACACAGCAGCGGCAGCAGCGAAAGTGGCGAACTGCAGAATTCCCAGCTTAAAGTTTCGGAGTAGGTGGCTAGGGTAGAGTCGGTTTTCCACATCGATGAAGGGATGGAACCTGTGGGTAAGGTAGAAGCCGATTGCGAGAACGCCAACAAAAACCCAGAGGATGATCATGCTGTAAGAGTCCCATTCGAAAAGGGTTCCACCATATGTGACAGCCATGAAGAAGGAGACGCACCAGCCGGTCCATACGACTAGTCCAAGCCAGTCAACATGGTCCAGCCTCTGCTTGGCAGACTTGCCCTTTGCGAAGTCGATGGAAGGCAAGATGAAGACTAGGACAGGTCCAGCCAGTGCGAAGATCAAGAGGTTAATGTAGAAACCCCATCGCCATCCAAGGCTACTTTCGGCAAATCCTCCGCCGACCTTTGTACATATAAAGTCAGTCATGCGCATGCGATAATAACATGGAAAGTGGAAAATTACTTACGATTGGGCCCAGGGCAGTTCCGATTCCCCAAGTTGGCGAGATGAGAGAAATGTAAAGAGGGCGCTCTTTGGGCGTAGTGACAACGCTGAAGAAAGTCAAGGAGCCGACGTAGATGCCGCAACCGCCAATACCAGCAATCATGCGCCCAACAATGAGAGAGTTCATGGTTGGCGAAGCCGCAGAAATTGCACTGCCGACCTCGAAGCAGACGACGTAACCAAAATATAGCCATTTAATGTCGAAAGCTCCATACATCTTAGACTGAATGAGGGCGAATGCAGTGGCTGGAAGGGCGTAGGCCGTGGCAAGCCATGGATACTTTTCAAACTCCCCTAGAGATTCAATGACATTGGGCTGTATGTCTGCCACGACGGTGGTGTCGAGAGCGAAGAGGAAGACGCAGGAGAGAACGGCTAAGACGGTCATGACCCACTTGATGCCATGGATCTTACGCTCGTACTCTGGTCCTTCGTCCCCTGTTGGCTCGGTCGTCTCTGGTGGCTTCTCGTCGAGGACTGGGCTCTGAGAGCGCCTTAGTTGTGTGTCGTTCATTTGAGAGCCGTTGTCAAGCGAACGTTTTGGAGACGGCGATGTATCGGGGGTGGAGGAAGAAGCGTATTTTTCCGATGATGCTGACATGGTGAAAGTAAGTTGTTTGTCTTTCACTTGTCTAAGTGTAGTCTCTTGGCAGACGGGGTATCAGGGGCAGCTACTTCCCGCCGCTACAAAAACAGCCTTGTATGTGAAGTGGCTTGAGGTGCTTGCTATTTGGGTATTTGTCCCGTATGAGGGGCGGAGTATCGGCAAGGTACACAGTTGGCAGGAGTGGAAGAGGGTTGATGACACGAGGTAAAATGGAGTTTTGGAATGTTGGAATTAAAGTTTGATACTGTAGCTGGGAAGGGAATGAATGGCTTTTGTATGTTGTGTGTGAAACGAACAGGCACGACCCAGTTGATGCTTGTGAAATAACATGATTGAGGTAACACAACGATTACGTGCCAAGATATGCAACTGGGTGACCATTGCCAGAAACAAAGGGGGATTGCCTCGAAAACAGTATACATAAAAGGATGAAAAGCAATCAAGAAATGTCAGCCAACAGCGTGAGCACAACTGCCTTGCCTAGAAGTTTCCAGCTCAGGAACGGGTGCGGCACAGACTTGGAAATTAGACAGCCAAGAGAACTCCAGCACGATCCCGATCGTGAATTGCTAGATGATATGCATCGATGCATTTCTCGAATGGGGGTTCGACAGTATTCATTATTCAGCAACGTCCGACAGTCAGATGCTACAAGACGACACCCCTGTCACGCTAATGCAGCTGGCTGACCTTCTCGCTTGAAGACATCACGTGACTGTCTGGCCACTCGGCAGGTATCTGATTGGCTCTACTGTCTACCCTCTAGCAGGTCAGAGCCTCTACATTTCCAATCTCCTGACACGCTAATCATGCAGCTGGCTGACCATCTATACCCAAACGACGTCATTTTACTACCCTTCTCCTAAAGTGCAAGGCCCCGCTCGCGATCCATGAAAGTGCTGTAGGAAACGGCATCTTGGCGTTTTCGCTTCACATGCGGCCCCGAGCAAAGCCAGCCTCATCGGCCCCCGAGCGCGCTGCATCTCTCTTCGGTCTGTTTTTCATCTCCGCCTTCAGGAAACATCGTCGCTTTGCACCGAGAAGTGGATGATACTTGCTTCAAGAGAACTGCGATAGAGTCTAGGATGTTGAGATGACTTGTATTTAACGCGCACAGCTATACCAACGTCTTCATGACAATAGATAATCAAAATCATCGCACACTTTCGAACTTCCTATCGTTAAGAATCATCTCATAGGATTTTCTCATCTATTCCCTTTGTCTAAGGCATCTCCGGATCCGCTTCCCTAATCATACAAAATGTCAACCTCACTGGCAGCCTCCTCTTTGCTCTCCGTCAAGAAGTGGGTTGTGGTTGGTGAGTGGTAGAAGAGCCAAACATGACTG